TTAAAGTCTGTTAAGGTCATGTTTGTGCATTTCAACTTGAGATATAAATAATAGGGAAGGAGATGACATGGTGGAAATGGTGCTTGGGCAGGTGGGAAGAGACAGTCTTGGAGGACGTGAACAGCAACAGGAATTGGGGATGCTGAGCACCTGGGTCAAGATGGTCGCTGTGGAAATAGGAAATGGCATCCCCAGACCAGTAGACTTCGTGGGATAATAATGAGAACCATAAGAAAAGAGAAGGACTGAAACGGACTGAGGGCAAGTTCTCTGGAGGGACAGTCACAGTGATAGAGAATAATGGTAATGCTAAGGGTTCTGCAAGTCAGAGGTGGTTTTCTCTGCAGGGTTTAGAGGAGAGGGCTGGAGGCAGGGCAGCTCTGCAGATGGCTGGGCCCCAGGCAGCTGAACCAGTGCCTCGACAGATGGTCATGGGTGAAGAAAGATCTTCCTTGGAAAGGAGACGGGCACCCATGCCAGCCCCTCCCCAGATGGGCAGCCGGGAGGGAGTTTATGCTGGCTAAGAGCTGGGGAAAGTATGTTCAAGGTCAGTGAGAAAAACAACCTGTGCTGTGTCTAACACCTGGTGTGGCAATCCTCTTTGCCACAGGGACATCCTCTTCCGGTTCCCATCACAGACCTCCACGAGCCCAGTGTCCTGGCACTACAGTGGGTGCCTCTGGGACTGTCCAGCTCCCAGGGTGGGCAGGAGGCCCTGTCAATCCCACTGCCACTTTGAACCAAGTCATGCCTCCAGAGGGGGAGTTCGGCCTTGCATTATTTGGTTTTCTATCCTTTTATGTCCATTCGCTGTAGCACTATTTCTTTTTAACTGAGAAGCAAGTTGAGATCATTTATGGCTTTACGCTGCTCCTCCATGGATCTGTCTACATAGTTTTGTGGTTTTGAGTTATGAGTGACAGTTATGTACGCCTGCCTGTAGATTATCTATGCACACATTCTGGAAAGTTCTAAAAGGGACAGAGGTCACCACGTGGCAGTCCACGGACTGGATATGGCCTGCTGACATGTTGTATTTGGCCTCCCCAATGTTTGTTAACGTTTTTTGAACCAACACTCAAACTGGAGACTCTTACACATTCCTACATTTCCAGTTTCTCTTTAAAAAAAGGTAGAAAGCTCTAAAAATCCTGGACTGCAACCCCTCATGTCAGTAAGCACCTGGAGTTGCTTTACTGCTGTCCCCTCGACACACAGAATTTTGTCTCTATTTTGCCGCAGTCCCCACCACTCCCTGTTACTGACACAAAACCCACTTGTCCTTCTTTGTCCCACTCATCTGGCCCCTTGGGGGCTTTTACTTTTGGGTTCTTGTTTTCCATTATTGTTTTCGTTTCGGGGGGAGTTCGTTTGTTTCCAGGAGGTTTTGATTTTCTTGAGTGGAAGGGATGGCTGAATTCTAATTCCTTTCTCCTTCCTTTATGTATCTTCTACTTACAGAATTTTGTGAGGACACAAAATTCTCAACCTTGTGATGATGCTTCTTGCCACTAGAGCATAACGTAACCCCAGGTCCTTCCATCAAGACCCTCCTTCCACGACGGCCCTCCCATAGTATCCTAGGACAAGCAGAGAGGTCTCCCCAGATGATTCAAGGAGATATCAGTGACATGATGACTACTTGAGCCATATTTTGGCAGAGGGAAATGTAAAAGAAATAATGTAGTGAAGTGGAATAACAACTCTGATTGATTTGAGAAAGGATGTGAGATGTGGGAAGTAAATGGAGTTGGAGCACAATCAGGAAAGGTGGATCATAGAAAGCTCGAGAGAATGGATTTGCCTGCAAGCCCATGGAGAGCTGTGGAAGCATCGGAGCCTGAGCAATGAGAGGACCTGACAGAATCATCAGCCTGGAGTGGTCACTTTGAGGACAGGGTGGGAGGCAGGCTGGAGTATAGACTGACCTGAGGACAGGAGACCCCTCAGGAAACTGGCCAGCTACTTCCAGGCTTAGAGTCTAGTCTCATCTCTGCTAATTCAGCATGCAACCACTGTCTGGGCCTCAGTCTTCATCTGTGACCTTCAGATGTCCTTCAGGTCTCAATCCTCTATTGGCACCTAGCACCCTCCAAGTGCTATTTCCACTGTGAAGGTACAATGACAGGACCCTGCTCCCTTTGGTTGAAATCATCCCCTCCTTAATGAATCTTGGTTGAGGTCTTCTTCATTCGACAGCAGGCACTGTCCATCATGAAAAGCATCTATTGTGTTAGTGTCCTGTATAGAGCGAATCGGAGGGAAATCTGGATCCAGATATCCCCAATGACAACAATGTCCAGTATGCTTTTTCTTTCTTTCTGTTTTGGTGGTTATGAGCCAGTTGTTATTTGTGCATTTTGAGAGTGGGTTTCATTGGACTTGGATCAGTCTTTCTGTAAATAGAAGCAACATCATAGAGGAAGGAAAATGCGGGAATGGAGCTATTTCCAGCTCTCCTACCACTAGGTAATATGCCCTCCATTAGGGCCTCTCTAGAAGAAAAAGGTTAGAAAAACAAAGGGCACTGGCAGGAAGAAATAAGCAGGTACCTCTACATGGAGCTGATCCTGGTTGCAGCTCTGGACTCCTGGGACTTCAGGGCCACAGTCTGACAGACAGCACCAGAGAGAGGGCTGGTTTCCACAAAACAAACAACAACAACAACAACAAAGCCACCACAAACACTACTTCTATTGCTCTCAGCCACGCTTACTGCAATAAGCTTAAACAATATTAAAGACCAAGCCCTTCACTTTACATAGATCTTAAGCTTTTTCAAGGAGGCAGATGCTATACTTTCAGTTTCTCTTGAGTCATACCTTGAGCTTCATGTAGCTGACAATACTCAAAAACTGACCCTTGGCTGTTCATCTCCTGACTCTGTGTATTACTCACCTACTGTGTAACAGGCATCTCAATATTGCAGAGATTAAAAAAAGGTATAATGTATGGTGGCTTCCATCAAGGAGATTATATTCTGGTAGAGGGCTGCTGTGGCTTGGTTAGGGCTTGAGTGCATCTTTCAAAGGTTCATGTTCTAGAAGCTTGGTCCTCAGTGTGGTCTCTTGGAAGGTGCTGGAACCTTTAAGAAGTGAAGTTTGGTTTAAGGTAATTAGGTCATTGGGGGATGCTGCTCTCAGGAGGAATTAATGTAGTTCTCCCACAGTTAGCATTTTCCTGAGAGCAAGTTGTTGTCAAAAAGCAAGTCTGACTCCTGAACTCTATGATTTCCTGTCTCAATATGTGATCTCTCCCTTTCAAACATGCTTTTGCCATGATGCCATCTGCCATGGAGACTTGATAAATGAAAGCCAATAGCACAGAAACTGTGAGCTGAATTGATCTTTTCTTTATAAATTACCCAGCCTCAGGTATTTTGCTATAACAACAGAAACCAAACAAATACAAGGGCCATCCCTGCGATTGTATACACATGTGCTCATGACTAAATCAGCATGATGAATGTTATGAGGAAGATGTGCAGAAAACTCTGTGGAAGCTGAGTATGGGAATAGTGGTGGAAACGTACTAGAACAACTGATGCCAGAGCTAAGCCTCAGAAGATGAATAATATAGACGCTCATCATCTTAAGGATATGTGTATGTTCATTCATGTGTGTGTATCTTTTCTGTTGTTGTTGTTGTTACATCATTGTGTAATTCAGCGTGAGAAGTCTTGATATCTTTCGCCCATATCAGGTGCAAAGGTACTGTTTACTCTTTCTTTTTATTTATTTGCATTTTCCTTGTTTTACAGCATCCTTTGCATAAATATTTCCCTTGAATTCTCTATTTTAAAAAAGATGGCATGATCAGGGTGATGTACTCTGATCTCAAGCCTCTCCTGCCCTGCCATTCATCTGCCTTGGAGCCTCAGCTGCTCCATCTGTCAGGCATGGATCCTCATGCCTGCTGGACAGGCAAGATGATGCAAACGGGTTCTCATCCAGTACCCATTTAGACAGCAAACATTTTATTGAGCACCTACATTTTATGAGATGCTAGGCTAGGATTTGAGGTCCGTCCAAACTCTGTAATCTGCTGTTCAACTCTGTCAACCCTTAACAAATGTGTTTTCAAGAGCATGCACACATGTGCCTCCTTTGGAAAGCAAGGCCAACCCCACACTTCAAAGTGCAGACCATGTGAGAACTTGGATGACCTTCAAAACAACCCTACTGGGTTTTCTTCCTCCTGGGGGGGGGGATAAAGTATTCTTTGTTTGTTTGTTTGTTCTAATTAGTTATATATGACAGCAGAATGCATTTCGGCACAGCTTTTCATTTCCCTGGTAATATGTGATGTAGAGTTGGACCATAAGTGCAATCATAAATGTACCTAGGGTAATGATGTCCATCTCATTCCACCATCTTTCCTACCCCCATGTGCCCTCCTCTTCCTTCCCTCCCCTTTACCCAAAAAGTTCTTCCATTCTGCCCCTCTCCCCACCAATTATGGATCAGTATCCACTTATCAGGGAGAACATTTGGCCTTTGGTTTGGGGGGGGGATTGACTTACTTCACTTAGCTTGATATTCTCCAACTCCATGCATTTACCTGCAAATGCCATGAGTCTATTCTTTTTTAAAGCTGAGTAATATTCCATCGTGTATATAGACCGGAGTTTCTGTATCCATTCATTTATTGTGTTACAGGAAAGAGACAAAAGCAACACCTCCAACCAATCCAATGGCCGTAATAATCCAGTTCAAGTCTTCAACTGAGCATCTTAACTAAGTAATTGTTTATCTGATTAATATTCAACACCCACAAAAGGAGCCAGAAACACACCCCTTTCCCAACATTCTCTCACTGGCGATGTCCCTCTCCTCCCCACCCAGTGTGTTGTCCAATAGACATTAGGATCCCACTCCTTTCAGGGCGCAGAGGCCAACTCAGGTTTGATCCCAGCATCAACGCTGTGCAGCCCCTCTCCACCGGGCGTCTCCCCAGACATTATTTCCCACCATTTCTTTCATTTTGTGGAATGTGCTGTCTGCTGAGAAGCGTGTGTGCGGCCCTTCCCCTGCCTCCTGCCTTGACCCTGCACGGGCGATGTGGGCTCTCCTGGAGCCAGGCCGTGGAGAGGCGGCCATTCTCAGCCTCCCTGGACAAAGCCAGGGTTCCCTTGGCAACGGGACCTTGTGGACGCTGGTGAAGGGGTTTCCCTCCAGCCCCGGGCCTCTTTCAACTCCAGAGCTCACCCGGGGTGCGCGTCTCTCATGGAGGCATCTCTAAGCAGGGTAGGAAAAACAACAGTTCTTCCAGAATCTCGTAATTGGCATTTGGAGACAATTGCTTTGCATTCAACAGGCAGGAAAATGTGGAGTTGGGTGGGTGAGTGAATCCACGCTGCAGGCTGGGGAGCAGCCCGGGCGGGCAGGCGGGCGGAGGGAAGGCTGGTTTCGTTTCTGTCCACACAGGCCAGTCTTGATGGGAGTAGTTTGGGGCTCTGAAGTGTGCCTTTGTCTTTTGGGAGGTGGGAGGATGGGGAGGGATCTAAGGAGAGAGGCTTCTAGAGGCAAGTGTTTTCTGCTTTCTCTCCTATCTTTGGCTTTTCCTTTCTATAAATATAAAGGAACCAAGGATTGCTTATTTCCAGGTTAGTGCCCAAACTTGCTCATTATTTCTGCCAGTGTGTGCCGGTGTGCTCTCGCTCTGGGATGTGGGGTCTCTCTCTCTCTCTCTCTCTCTCTCTCTCTCTCTCCACTTGTTTTTTTTGTCACAAAAACAGACAAGAAAGATCTGTTCTAAGGTTGGCAGTGATCTTTTCTTGTAGCAGCTCATTTTTGGCAGAGCCAGGGTTAAGCCAAATGGGACAGGCAGACAGACCTGTGTCCCCCTCCTAACTTGGTGAGCTGGGTAGGTATCTGAATCCGGGTCACTGAACCAGGTTGGCCTAGGAGACTTCAGATGCGCCTTTGGTTGATGGAGGAAGTGTCCGGTATTGACTTGGTTAATAGATATCCGAAGTTTCTATAGTCATTCAGAAGTTTATCGTTGCTGTCCAGGCTGAGGGCCTGGTGGGGAATACTGAGAGGTGATTCCGCTCCTCCATTTCACCTCGGAACTCCAGGTGGAGGAGAACTGTGGCAGAAGGCTACCTCACCATGACCCTCCTGCTTATAGACTTTGAACAAGTAGAGATGAGTATAGCTGAGTGTTGAAAGGAAAAGGTGAGAGTGTCATTCGTTTTTCCTTTCCTTTCTCTTTCCTTCCCTCTCTCCTCCCTCCCTCCTTCCACATTTAGAGAGAGGCCTAAGCAGTACTTTATGGAGGCTCTGAGTTTAAACTAGTTACTGCATTATCCCATTAACCAAAATTAAAATTTTAAAAACAAAAATGAAATCTTATTTCTTTCCTTCTGTGTTCAAACTTCCATAAAACTCTTTGGAGACAGGGACTGTGCTGTTTTCATTGTTGCACCCCAGATCTAACCAACCCCAGGGCTAGGCGCATTATGGATGCTCAATCAGTGCTTGTAGAATTGGGCTGGCTCCAGAGGGGAGCCTGGGGCACTTACCTTTACTCTCTGTTGCATGAAGGGTGGAGCCAGTTATCGGTGTGATCACGTGACTCGGGTTCTGGACTCAGATCAGACATTAATTAGCAGAGCTACCTCATCAGAGCTCTTTCAGTTTTCATCCATCAGGTGGAAGGGGTTTGGATAAGAATGGTGTTTCCCCACCAAAGGTACTTATCTGAAGTCCTCAACCCGAGGGAGATTTGGGAAGGGGAGCAGTGTGCTCAGGAACAGCATTGAAGGATGCTGTAGACTGAGGGGGAGGAAGAGCAAAAAGGTTCAGAGCCTCGAAGCTTTATTGTGTCGGGTGCCAGATGACCTCTCAAGTCCCTTGTAACCCTGACATTCAGCGTTAGGAGCCTCGTCTTTCTCAGTGGTTGTGACTTCTCTTCTGCACTGGGTACTTTTGAAGAATGAAACCAAGCAAGACCCTGATTTGTTCTCATAGAGGCAAGCAAGCTCTCTTGGGGACAAGGAAATAAGGCTTCTCACCCCTGATACACCTGAATCTGCCCTTTGGAGTGGTGAGTAGCTGGTCCCGAGGCGCCAGGAGGCCAGAGGTTGCAGTGAGGTAGCAAGCAAGGTCTTAAGGGCCTTGAAAGACATGGCGGAGATGGATGGGAAGCCACTGGACCCATAGTTGATCACTCCAGAACTGCAGTGAGAAATGTGTGGCAGAGACCATAGTGATTGGTTAGAGTGAAAGTCTTAGAAACTAAGCGTCCTTTGTGGGAGGTTACATGGTGACAGGAAACATTCAATGTGGTCAGATGAACCTAGATTTGCATCCGGACCTTGCGACTTACCACTGGGTAACTTGTGTGTGTCATTTACCTTCCCCGGATTGCTCATCTGTTAAAGAGTAATCATATGACCAGCCTCAGCCAGTTGTAAAGACGAAAGCCCAAAGAGACTGTCATCTCCCACCGAATGCTCGAACTGAGCTCTGTTATTGTCAGAACAAATCCTAGCACCTTTGCATTATTGGCCACAGATGAGCAAGCCCTCTGGGGGGTGTCAGGCACATGCTGAGTCTCACATATGCTCCCTAGCTCCTTGGGGGGAGTAGGCGGAGATAGGGAAGGAAGACGTGAGGAGACCTGTGCAAGGACATGCAGCCTGCTGAGGCCAGGATTGAGACTGGGGTCCGAAGTTATTTACTCCTGACTAATATTTTTTTCCCCTACATCAGGAATCAGCCAACTCTGCCCTTCTGGCCAAATCCAGCTTCTGGGTTTATAAATAATGTTTTATTGAAACATAGCCATGCTTATTCATTTACGCACTTTCTATGGCTGCTTTCGCAATTTGACAGCAGAGTTGAGTAGCTGCCACAGAGACTGTCTGGCCCACAGAGGCTAAAATGTTTATTTGCTGGCCCTTGACAGACACAGGCTGCCAGCCTCAATCTACACTCTTGTGCTCCCTTAATTGGCATGGCGTTATTGTTTTTAGCTTAGGTGTTGCCAGCTAGCCAGGGCCAGAATTGAGATTCTCCTGGCAGATGGCAGTCCTGATGGGATATAACAGAGGCAGACCCCTCTAGAGGCCAGTAGAAGAGCACTGGTCACCTGGGAAGGCAGAAAAGGAAGAAGATGCTTGTGTCCCCATAAGACCATGGGCAGCACCCTGGGGAAAGACATTGCTATTCTCAGGGAGAATTTGCATTTGCTTACTCATATGCACATGGGTCTATTTGAAGGCTCCTCCTTCCTCTTTTGAGACACTCTTAAGACTTAAGAGCATGTGGGGACTATAGATCAAGGAGTATTTCCCTGCTTGGCACTTAGGAATCCCATAGGTTGGTGTCAATCTCTTTGCTCTCCAAGTTTCCATTAATGCACTTAAACAAAGGACAAGGACACCGTGGGCCTATAAATTCACCAATGCATTCAATCCCATTAAGTAATTAATTAATTGTTTTGATGGTAAGTAATTAATGCCCGACTTCCAGGTTTCACTCCGGTGTTTGAGGATACATGTAGAGGTGTAGATTCATAGGCAGAAAGCAAGTGGAGGCTTCCCTCGACTGGATGTGTAGGATCCAAGCTTCCTCTTCACCCCTGGGCGTTTCTCTCAACTCCTGCCTTCAGGCTCGGCTTGTTGCCTTAAGCAGTGAAAACTGGGTTACACAGTTCTTCAACTCCAGGTAATAGAAATACAGTGCCCTGTGTTTCCTGGCACTCTTAACTTTCCAACCAGCCTAGGTGGAGAATACCCCAGCTTTTTGGAATGCTAAATAATCCACCAGACCTATCAGCCATGGGGTTTCAGAGTTCTGTAGTCTCCTTCCACTGATCCAATGAACAGATGTGCTCCTTTTTCGCTTGCTGGGAATGCTTCAGCCATCTGAAGAGCATGAACTCGGTTGGGTCAGTCCCTCAGAGCCCTCACCTCCAGCTAGTCCACAGCCTAAGCAACTGCCCTCACAAACACCCCAAGGTTATCTTGCCTGATGCCTAGAAGCAGCTCAGTAACTGTGAGGTCAAGGGCATGACGGCTCAATTCCAGGATGGACTTGTCCTGTTCACTCAAGACCTTTCAAAAAAGCAAAAGGAAAGGAGGAAACTTCTTTAGTCGTTATCAACTGATCCCTTTCATTTTTCCTCTTCCATGAGGATGCTTAGTGGAGATGACAGCCATGGCAGAAATAGTGAATGGAAATGTAAGAAAAGTCCAGGCAAATCTAAAACCCCCAGTGGGCTGGGATGAGAGCTAGTCACCTGCCTTAAGGCACAGGGCATGCTAATAAGCAAAGCAAGGGGGCCTCGGAACAATCCCTGCCTTCTGGGAACTTACCATCAAAACAAGAAATTACTGAAGTGTACTGAGCTAGCAGATTCAAGGGATAAAGACACACACGAACCAGCATGTGGAGAGGAAGGGAATGTTATAGAAGGAGCCCACGCTAAAAATAAATGATCTTTTACAAGTGTGGTTAACTTTACTGAGACTTAAAATTATACAACACACCGTGCATTTTCCCCCTAAAATAAAAACCTTGAGAAAGTCTGATCCGCCTTGCATGAAAGGCTACAGAAAAAGAAGGTACCACTGAAAGGGTTTGAAATTACAGCCGTATTCCAAGTAGGATAATCAGCAGGAATAGTTAATGCCATCAGAAGTAGACTGATGTGGAATTGCTTTCTTTAAATTGACTCATTTATGTTGCCTCATTCAAAAGATTCCCAGCCCTCTTATCTATCTATCTATCTATCTATCTATCTATCTATCTATCTATCTATCTATCTATCTACCACCATCTAGGAGCTGTCTAGGAAAAAAAGAAGAAATAGGCCAATTTTGTTGAAATCTGCCCAGTGTGACAATTTTCTCACTGTCCCAAGTGAAAATAATCATTCATTTCATACTTAATCTATAACCCCCCCAAAAAATTCAATGCTAAGTTGTGACATTTTATTTGGTGATTCATTAGGATCAGAACAAGCTGATTGACAACCCGGCTAACACAGTGTCCTTATGAATTGACCTTTGAGGCTGCAATGACCTAATTTGTAATTTAGGATTGGACATCTATGATGCAGCCCTAGCCTTGGCATACCATGGGTAGCCCAACAGATGGTACCTCAGCAAGTTCTTTTAAATAAATATGAAACTGCTAGCATTATCTTTGTCCAGCTCAAATGTGTTTCCCTAGATATAATTTTGTTCCCAGCCCACGACATTGACAAGTGGTAACTACTGAGTGTTTCTGTGCAAGGTGATCCAAGATGGTAATGGGTGAGAGCATCCACCAGAGACCGGCTCTAACCTCTAACCTCCTCCTTTCCAAGACGCACCCCTTAATAACACTGTAACACCAGTAGCACCTGCTCTTTCTTGAACATTGATATCCTCACAATCTTATTAAATTCTTTTTCATCTGGGGGTTGGGTTGCATTTTTGTTTGTTGGACAGGAAGGTAGAGGGGCAGACAGAAATGGGGGACTGTCGATTTTTTGTGCATGTTTTCAGAGCAGGGATGGTAATGGAAATAGAACTTTTAAATTATAGGATCCAAACTGGGGGGAGGCCGGGGTGCGGGGGGGGGGTGGTGGTGGTAATTAGAGGATTTGGCCAGAGGAGGTGGGGGCCAGCCAGGAGGGCAGGGCAGGGAGATGGGAGGGGTGGGCCATCTGGTGTTAATCTCCTGCTGTGTGTTTGCAGGGCGAAATAGTCAGGGTACTTTGTCAAGGTACAGTCTGCTCTTGCAGACGCAGATGGAGCAAAAGGGAGATTAATACATGTGGTTCTAACCACCTTTCATATCTTTACAGCTAAACATTATTTATAGAAATCAATTAGTCCTCTGTCTGTGCCATTTTATTATGAGGTTCTGTCCAAGTTTCTGGCAAGCTCTTTAAGAGGATGATTGATGGTGAACTTTCAGAATGAATAAAAAATGAACCCTCCCCTAGGTATTGGTGTAGTGGAGAGAAAGGTAAATGATAAAAATTACAAACTCTGCAAATCATAGGAAACTAATGCAGAATCAGTGTGGTCCTTGTTATACTGTTGTTGTTTTTTTTTTTCTTGTAGCTAACACTAGTCTGTCTTCTTTCTTTCTTTCTTTCTTTCTTTCTTTCTTTCTTTCTTTCCTTCTTTCTCACAACACTCAGCTGTCTGTTTGCTATGGAAACTTTAGGAGAGCTCAATGCCTACAACTGAATTGTGGGAAACTAAAGATTTATTCATTTGCCAAGCTAGTAAATGCCATTTTGATTACTGATGCTCATAAGAGATAAAGAATTCCAGGGAAAAATGGAACAGAGCTCTTATGTTTTGTCTTATGGAAACTTTTATAAGAGATGAGAGCTGCCGATTGGCCTCTGTAAATGAGGCTAGGAGCCAAGTAATGATAAGTGTAAACTCCCATTGCAGTGAATTTCATGGAAGATATCTATTGATTTATTTTGCACTTCTAATCCTGGTAGCCTGCTACCAAAGCTCACATCCCCCAGAATTCAAAATAAAACAGCATCAATGTCTTACCGGTGAGAACAGAATAACCAAACAAAACACAGGTCCAAACCCAGGAGAGGACAGGACGCTTGGCACGTGGTGTATCAGTGCTGACATCATTCAGGTGGGGAACAAGGTTGCCTGTTTTGTTAACTCTTTTGAGGGGATAAGAGGATTTTTTTTGTCTTTTAACACTTTGAGATGGTGGAGGTGACAATGGGCAAATAACACTAGAGGGGGTTTATGTGGCACTTTAAGGACTGCAAAGGATTCTGGGAAGTTCCTAACTTCAGTCAGGCTGAGTTTCCTCCTCTGGATACAGAAAATATTCCTGGTACCCATCAGTTTGCTGGGAGAAGCAAACGAGATTGGGCATTGAAGTGTTCAGTGCCCCATAAACACAACAGATTCTCTTGAAGTAGCATCATCTGGGTTAAGATCATTCAAAATGACTTTTCTCATTTTCTTAAGGTTTGATCTCAGTGTAGAACTTGTCTCCTTTTGTCAACTGTTTGATGTGTCTGAAGAAGCGAGATCAAGTGCCCTACAGAGAGGCAAGTTCTGACTTTTGTGTCTTCTTCTGTGTAATTCTGATATGAACCTTTATACACAGTAGATGCTTGATAAACACTTTCTCATGTAAAATTCTCTAAGTTTAAACGAAGTTTCCCTCTTTCTTCACTGAAGCTATCAGTGTAAATTTACCAAGACTCTACTTAACTCGACTTAATCATATCTGAAGTAACTCACTTCTAAGTAATAACAAGCATGTATTGAACAATGAGTGAATACATAAATCCTACATAGGAGAATTAAAGAACTAAGCAAGGAAAACATTTTAAATCAAAACTTTATTAACTTTTAAATTTCAGTAGGGAAAAAAATGTGTGGAGTGAATTAGAAAAACAATTGCTTGCAAGCTAGAGAAAATGTTGTTTCCTAACTTAAGATAGAACAATTTATAGGAGACGTGGGGCAGATCTCAGAATACAAGGGAAAGCTGGACAACAGCGTTTGCAAAACTGCAGAGAAGAGTCAGCAGTGCAGATCTGGGGCAGCAGCATTTAGCAGCCTCATTGGTCAACACCATGAATACATTTCTATCATTATTTTTACGTATCCAAATATAGTTGTATCTTCTGCCCTCTGTATCCACAAGTTCCACATCTGTGGACTCAACCAACCTCAGATGGAAAATGCTTGGGAAAATTCTTTTTTCATCTGTATTGAATGGGTAAAGCCAGTTTTCCTTGTCATTATTCCTTAATCAATACAGTACTACAGCTATCTATGTTGCATTGACATTGTATTAGGTATTAGAACTAATCTAGGATGATTTAATGTATATTGGAAAATACTACATCATTTTATATGAAGGACTTGACTATCCACAGATTTGGGTGTCCACAGGGTTCTGGAATCAATCCCTGCAGATATTCCAAAGAACTGGGAATTAGGACCTCAGCATATGCATTTGGGTGAGGGGACACACTTCCACCCATACTCACATTCGGTAAACAGAGTGAGCGGATTTCTCAAGTGATAAACACCCATTGTGTCCTACAACATTCTTAATGATAATGGAGTCACCATTCCCAAAAGTCCAGGGAGATATACAATATTCCAAATTTGCTGTTGGAGCTTATTAAAACTGAGATACACAGGTTTTCTCCCCTCTGTCGTTAAACACACATTTAAACCTTGACAGATTGAGAACTGGTAACCACTTTGTATCTGAGATGCCAATTTTGCCTATGAAAGTTTACAGAGAGATTTTTCTAAGAATGGAGCCAAGCAGAAATGACTCTTTATGACCTCCACCACACATACAGATTTTCTCTTGGCTTCTGGCCACTGTTTAGACTCCCCGTCCAGCCTTGAGCAATACACAAAGCAAGTAGTAGTCATGGAGTGATACAGAAAGCCCTGGCTGTCTCCTGGGGTGTTTAACTTGCTGCTTAAAACATCCAACTCATAGTTTATGGTTCTATGATTCACAATTTCTCAACACACAAATCTGTGGTCTTCTTCCATGACCTGTGGCCACTTTCCCTAAGCCTTGTCCTCTGTGTTCCCTTGGAAAGATGTACTCTGGGGGAGCAGGTGTCCCCACCCCAAGCAGCTGAGAGGTGGCTTGCACCTGAATGTTTAGAGGCACTGTGCCCCGATGATGTCTTTGAGTGCTATGAGGCCTGGCTGTCCATGGCAACGTGTCCATCCAGTTCTGAGGGTTTGCCTTCCTCTTCCTTCCCTTCCAATGCTGTGAATATGAACCCACTATTCCCATAAGGCAAGTCGAACAGGCTGTGTGAAGGAGGGCACCAATTTTATCCACAAAGAAGAAACCACCTAGGTGTGCAATTGCCTTTGATTGTTCTTTAGTGAGTGTGTAGGCATAACGTGTGTGTGTATGTGTGCGTGCACGCATGCTGGTGTTTGTACACAATCACCTGGTGTTTGTACACAATCACAGGATTTGGAGGAATCTTGATCAGCAGTATGGGCATGACTTTGGTGTAAAAAAGTACTCCTCTATAAGAATCAAATGGTAAAACTTGTGGATTCCAAGACCTCCCATAATCTGGGGTCTATTTATACCTCCAGCCTTGTCTTTTATCCTCCTCTGCTCCAACCACACACTCTGCTCAAAAGGCAGTCCCAGCACCCTGCACTATGCCTTTGCTGATCCCTTGGGCTAGAATAGACCTCCCTTGCACCCCATTATCTGTGCCTCAAAGGACCTCTGACCATGCTTTGCATCCACAGATCCTCTGGGAATCCTTCTGTGCTCATTTCCCTTCTCCTTGGTCCCACTCAGATAGATGCCCATCCTGAACATCCCATAATACCCTGCTCATCTCCATGGTATCTGTTCTGATGCTTCATTGTTGGTTTGTCTGTTTCTACCTAAACTGTAAGCTCCTTGAGGGTTGTGACTATATATATCTCGCCTCTTTTCTCCAGCCCTTAGCGTAGTACCTGGTACCTGATTAATGTTTAGTGGATAGATGAATGATTCAGGGAACAAATAAACAAATTAAAATGAAAATTGGAAACATGGTTTTCTTAATCCCCAGCATCTGGAAGCTATAAAGGCCTCCTTATTTGAAAACAGCACAGTACCTTGAATATCGACTCAAGCCCACCAGAGGACAAGTTAAAAACAGTGTATGATTCATCCGGGTTACTCCTGGGCCTCACACTGTACGGTTCAGCCCATTTCTCAGGATCGTGCATCAGTTTGTTTCTCCATAAAAATCCACTCAGCCTGTTAAAAATACTCAGTGGTGGTAACGATTGCACAAGCCACGGTGGAAAATAAAATCTAGTATGGACTGCCAAAATTATAGCCTGCTAAGGAGAAATGGTAATATACATAATATGCTTATTATTATAATGTGGTGAAAAGTACATCAGACTTAGAGCCAAAAGGCATAGGTTCAAACCTGGATCCCACCATTGACTAGCTGGGTGGCACTGGGCAAGTAAGTTAATGCTTCAGAGCCTTCCTGACTTGATTTGCATCAGACAGAATGGGCTTCACTCGAGTGGCCCCAGGAGCTTTAAGCTCTGTGTCAAAATCATGGAATGAAAATTGATACTGAGTACCTACCTACTACGCACCTGCCATTCTACTAAACAATCCAAAGATGGATAAACCCAAACGCAGATTCCCCCAAGGTCACAGGGGATCTGTTTCCAGTCCATCACTAGTCATTGCTCTCTAGCCCATGGCTTAACAATGGCATGTATCTCTGGTGTTCCATGCCACTATAATTGCCGTCATATTGGCTGCTCTTTTGTATTACGTAGATGGCTATTATATAGACCACTCGCTATTCTAGGCAGCATTTTTATTTGAATGAGATTGAGCATCTCCTATGTGTCCCATACTTTTCAGAGTCCTAGTGGAATCTACAGAATGCCCACGCAGTGATCGGCACCACATGCCCTCCTGTCTCTGCATCAGCCCTGTAGGACACTTGGCGTCACATAGACCAAACACTCAGATGTTGGCTCATATTTTAGTTTTCATATGGGTGTTTGGCACTCGGAGAAACAGGCAACTGCGGCCTTCAATACAACATCCAAGGATTGTTTAAACACGGGATTAGTCTGGGCTTTCTAGGGGAAATGTTCTTTTCAACATCACTTTCTAGAACAGTGTTTGATCCTGTTTATGAACAGTCCTGTCAGCGTTGTTAATAGCAGTAAGAATTCTTCCTCCTCTGTTGTAATCACACTCGCCCATCCCCGTCACCTCCTCTGCCCTAATCCATGTCCTGTTCAGCCATTTCAAGTCCACTTGGGAATCCACGTCCCCCTTCCTGCCTCTGCTTTCCACGCGACTGTGCACCTCGCAACTTCTCACCCTCATTTCAGTGCAGTCTTCCTGCTGAAAAACTTGCAGAGCATCCCTTGCATCGTCACACTTGTTCAGATGCACTAGGTTTTCCAGATGCTTAGTTTGGAGGGGAAAAAAAAAATGAGCACAGGAAAAGAAATCCGGTGGTCTTCATTCTAGTTCCAGGTGTGACACAGTGTTGCTGTGTGACCTGGGGAACACTGCTTTCCCTCTCTGGGACCCACCTAGAACTAGAAATGAAGACCTCAGAAGAATTACTTCCCTCCCACCTCCAGATCGTAGTTTCCTTGACTGTGCAGTGAAATGAAGGGACAAGATCAGGGATGCCAGGTGAGTGGCAGTCAGTCACCACTACTTTCCTACAGGCTTCTTGGAGTTCATCAGTAATTGTCTTTGGCTTTTTCCTCTGAGTGTTAATGAACTTCAAAATCATCTCAGCAGTCACTTGTAACAGCCCCGTGTTAACTCTCCAGAGCAAAGTCCTCTGCCCACTCTAGCTGGGACAGATGGGACGACTTTTGGGGTTCCTTCCTCTTCTAACATGTCACAGTTTACAGGAGTGCATCCCAGCCACCCAGGGCTTCCAGGGCAAAGCCACGCTGAAGCCTGCAGCATTTTGAACATTTTAGGCCTCTGGATGCCCTTCCACTTTACAGTCTTAGGTCAAATAGTACCCATCCTCAAAGCCCAGGTGAGCTCCACCCACCTGAAACCCCAGCTGGAAGTGATCCCTGAGCTTAGTGTGAAAGTTAAATGAATGTACTTTCACCTGCATATTACACTACCTACACCTACTCAAAACATCTCTATATTATGAGGTCACCGGGTTGACCTCAAGTGACCTCCCCATCTATGTGTAAATGAATCCCATCAGTCACTTTACTTCTGCGGAGGCACGGAGGCCCGCAAGGAGAGGTCGAGGAGTTGAAGTGGAGGCAGCCGGCTTAGACCGCTGCTGAAGAGCTGGCTGCCTCGGAGGCGATGTGGTCTCAAGGAAGTGCTGCTGTTCTAAGGAGCTGACAGCAGCCTGTGTGAGGCCTGCAGAGGGTGATCATCCAGGAGGGGGAGGGTGGGATCTGGAGATGCAAGAAAGAAGTGGGAGCAGCAGCCGGTGGCTCCTGAAGAGAGGCAGAGGGCCGGCATCTACCTGGAGGCCTGGGTCCAGACCAGAGGGAGGCCTGTTGTCCT